TGCTGGAGAGAGCTCCAAATTGCAAATATGATCAAAAATGTGAGGTTTATAGTTTTGGAATCTTACTTTGGGAAATTGCTGAAGAAAGAATTCCATATAAAGGTATCGATGATATTGTGGATATAACTGATAAGGTGCGTAATAAAATGTATAGAGAACCATTTTCTGAAAATAACCTAATGCCAGTGGAATTTAAAAAATTAGAGATTGAAGGTATGTAAATAAAAATATTTTAGACTATAATTTTATTTGTTGGACTAAATTTTTTCCTTTTTTACATATTTTTTAGCCGTTCGTCATGACCCAGATTTTAGGCCAAAAATTACAAAAATGTTTGAAGTTCTTAGAAAATGTGTCAAGAAATATTCACTTTCACAAGATTCATCAAGTTCTAATAGTTCAAGCCTAAGCAGAAAACCCTCCACTCCGAAGTTTATTCCAAAACGAGCATTCAGCATTGATCAAGATGAACTTTCTATTAATTCACCAGATTTTGAATCATTTAAATACATGACACTTAATGATGCAGCAAAACAACATAAGTTGTTTAGAAATGGTAAACCTAGTGGAGATGTAAAAACTGCATATAAATGTTTTGAAGCCTATGCGAATAATCCAAATACAACAAATCGTAATCAAATCACAGCAAAATATTATAAAGCAGTTTACATTTCAAGAGGATTTGCTGAGAGCCCTCCAAATAAAGATAAAATTGTTGCTGAATTATTTAAAGAAGTTGCTGATGATGAAGCAAATGAATACCCTGAAGCAAGAGTAAGATATGGAGATTGTTTGTTTAATGGTAAAGGTGTTGATAAGAATGAATCAGAAGCTCTTAAATATTTTGAAAAAGCTGCTGAAGATGGTGTTGTAGTAGCAATGTACAACGTTGGAAATATGTATTATAATGGTGTTGGATGTGCAAAAGATATAGAAAAAGCTAAGTATTATATAGAATTAGCTGTTTATAATGGCTACGAAGCTGCCATCAGATTTCGTAATGAGTATAACTTTTAATTATATATTTTAAAATTTATTATTTTCGATATAATATAGTATTTATTTCTTTATTTTTTTACCAATAAATATACATTGTGCTGAAAGTATTTAACCGCAGCGATATATAAACTTTGAATGAAAACATTTATGATGACAGTATTTTATGCAACTTGCTTGTATGATTTGAATACTGTATCTTATGCAACTTGTACGTTTGTATATGCATTTGAATACAGGCAACGTGAGTGTATCACTTTAGTCACATACAACTTAATAGATATAGTCCATGATTTCTTTTATTAATTAAATTGCGCGATGTAGGATGTCTGAATATGAAAACCATTAGATAATTGAGATTTTTATGCATAACATTCATTCAATTTTTAAAGCTTCAAAAATTAATATCTTTTTTAAACTTAATAATTCAACAATAGTTCCCGCCTAATTCGATATCAAATAAATCATTTTATTAAATTGTTCAATAAAAGTAAAACTTTGGAAATTTAGCTTTAAAACGATATACAGCAAACCGTTGTCATGGGATTAAATTGATTGTAAAATTTTTTTTCTTCCACTTTTTTATGACGTACAAATATTCTGCAAAAGTATATGATCTATTGTGACAAAAACAAAAATTAATTTCTACTTTAAATAACTGTAACTGACGCTAGTCTCATGTAGTATAATCTGTAGGTTAGCTTATTCTTTAGTAGTTTCATTTTGGTTGTAATTTTTTTTACAACGCGTGGTTATTACTAACCAGAAGAAATAAAATGATGGTATAAATAATAACTGAAGTGAAATTTGCCAAAAAAAATGCATGATTTCTGCGTCATCTACAGGCGTAAAAACTTCACAATTGTCAAAAAAAAGCTTCTCACTTAATTTAATAAATTTTCCCATATATAAGCGGAACAAATTCTGAAAAATTCTCAGCAACATTATATTATATATATAAACGACCTAACTAACGTATTTTTATATATGCGTTGATTCATGTTTCAATTTAATTCATTTGATATCCATTATTATCTTGATATATTATTATGTTATGAAGAAGGAGAAGAAGATACGAGAGACCAGGCTTGAACAACTGCATTCATGGTTGAATCATTAATTTTAACACGTGATGTTATTGATTAATCATCTTTATTAGTTGAACATTTCTTTCTTTCATTAAAAAGATGATACTTTTTGGCATAATATATCTTATTTAGCTAGAGTTAAAAAAATAAAAATTCAGACTATTTTATTAAGGATTCTATCAGAATTTCGTCAAAGATTATCGCTTTGTGATTGTGTATGGTTTGAAAATCTAGGAACCTTATATAAAAAAAAAAATAATATAGTATCCTTTTAAGGGTAGAAAATAGAAATGTTGCGTGCTCGACAACTTTTTCTTGAAATTCACCTATATGGAGATTTTATCACGATGTGTAAACAGGAATAAATTATAATTTATAAGTTATAACTGTTTTAAAACCACATTTATATATTACTTAACGTCTTTTTTATTTTATTTTATTTTTTTATTTGGAATAAATAAAACATCTATGTATTAACTCTTAGAAACATTAATTAATTCTCATTCATTTAAAAAACTATATCATTGTATTCCGCATATTCTTTAAAAGATGTATTAACATATAAAATAGAACTCTGTAAAATATTTGTTACTTTTATTTAAAGATTAACTTAAGAATGTGAAATAAAATGCCAAGAATTGTCTTAGGCTCTAGAATGTTTATAGTGCATGATCATTTTACAGAACTATTCAAAACAAATTTAGTTCATATATTATATTACATTATTAACTAGTTATTAATTTATAATAAAAAAATTTAATGTGTCCATTCTATAAATAAGTGATTCTAATTAAAAATCTTCATATACAGTAAAAAGTGATGGTATTCTGAACTCTTCTTAGATATGATCAAAAAAAGTACGCCACATTTTATCCAAAAGAAAAGAAGAAAAAAAAATTCTTAATTACTGGTCTATCTATAGTAATATCGTACTATTTTTATATAAATCAGGGTTAAATTTGTCTGATCTGATGTTAGGCATAAATAATTAATCAATGGAGATAAACGAGTATCATTAAAGGTAAAAATTTAAATAAAATACAATAGCTGTAATAGCTGTATATTTTTAGTTCTCTTCTTCGCTTCTTGATGAAAATAAATTATGGCTAATAAAAAGTTAATGCATTTATCTTTATCTAATTTAGTAAAAATCCTTATAAAAAATACGAATAGTAAGTAGTAAGAATAAAATTAGACTGATTTTTAGCTTAATTTTTAATCACCCTAAATGGGTCACCTGATATCACTATACCTGTCTAGAGCGGTGAGCAATCATCAATACATTTTTTTTATATTTACATATAGTATATATATATGTATTAATGTAGCTATGATGAAAAAATTTCTTTTATATTGATTATTTTGAATTTTTTTTAAAAAAAAATTGATTTTTGTGTTAATCAACAGGCAAATTATTAATTTTTTTAATAATAAAGTTTGTTTAATTAATTTTCATATCACAAGAATAAATTACTATATAATAAAAATGGCGCAGTAATTTTCGTACCTGTAACTTAGAGACCGGAAAAATTCCGATATCAAATCCGATTATACTACCCAAAAAGGAAATTACAACGATAAATAATCGGTAAGTGCATTGTTACAATTTCCTTTTTTGAATATGAGCGACAAGTATAATTCCGATAATAATTTTACTAATTATAGTAAGAAACAATTGATAATTTTTAGCCCGCTCACATCTTTAATGCGGGCCTACCTAGATTGTGCTACAGTGCTAGTAACACGGCAAATCGAAAATAATTTTTGATGGAATTGTATCACGGAATTTTTACAAATTCCGTTTATGATAAAGTCAATAATTCTGCAATAATGATTGGCCAATTGTTACGTGTTAGAATAAAATTCATAATGAAAATTCCGTTTACGTTATACGGCAAAAATTCCGTTTTGTTCTTTTATTATAATAATGGAATAATTCCGGGTCTTCTGATGTACAATGTAACACTATGCAAAATTCCGTCTGAATTATATCATCAATTCGTAAAGATATAAAAAGGTATCGTTTTCATTTATAAAATCCAAATACTCATAAAAAAATAACGACCAGTACAAATAATAAAATGGATGATACAGATAATAAATGGATCCAGTGGATTAAAAATGGAATCGCTAATGAATCTATTAATTATTATGATTATAGTGAATTTCAAAATATAAAATGTATAGGTAATGGAGGATTTGGTAATATTTATCAAGCTAATTGGAATAGTTCAAATACTGTTATTGCATTAAAATCTTTGCTGAATGGTGATAATATCACGATAGAAATTATTAATGAGGTATTTAAGGTTCTAATACGATAAGAATCATTACTATTTTCTTACTTTCTAAATATTTATATATAATTTCTTTTTTTTTTAGATAAAATTAATGCAAAAAGTTAATTTTCACAAAAATATTATTCAACTTTTCGGCATTACAAGTAATACAAGTAAGCGATAAAAATATGCTATAAAATTTAAATTGAATACATTAAGCTTTAAATAAAGTTGAAAATTTTATTTATTCATAATTTTTATTAATAGATGACGTAGATACAAATAATTATTTATTCGTTCTTGAATATGCAGATAGTGGTACATTAAAAAATTATCTAAAAAATAATTTCAATAAATTAGATTGGAATATTAAATTACGATTTGCAATACAAATTGCTAATGTTGTCTCATGTATACATCAAAAAGATATCGTTCATAATGATCTGGTAAAGTATTTATTTATTTTGTTCTTCTAATTCGCAAGTAATCATTTAACATTAATTATTTATTAATTTAATATTCTTAGAATTCTGATAATATTTTGGTTCATCGAAACATAATAAAATTAGCAGATTTTGGTCTTTCACGAAGACCTGAAGTATCGAATTTTGTAAAAGAGAAAATACCTTATATTGATCCACAACGTCTCAAAAATCGAATAATCAATAATAAGAAGAAATCAGATGTGTACAGTGTTGGTGTACTCTTATGGGAGATATCGTCCGGACAAAAGCCATTTAAATCATACGATAATTCTTGTGATCAAATATCATTAACTTTGGATATTTTAGAAGGAAAAAGAGAAATTCCAATTATCGGTACACCAGATGATTACATTAACATTTATACAAGTATGAACTTATTATATATTTCTTCCAATTTTTTATAAGTTAAAACTAAATTTTATATTTGAAAAAAAAAAAAAAATAATTTTTTTTTTAGGATGTTGGCAAGATAATCCAGATGATAGACCTGATATACATCAAGTATTTTCTGATCTGATTAATTTGAACATAAATGAAAATATTTCATATAGTGTAAATTTTGATGAATTTATTCCACTTATAGATAAATTTATTAAATTTGGAGAAGAAATTTTAATATTATATGAAAAATCAAGACATAATAAAGAATTATGTGGATTTCTTTTAAATAGGTGTAATTGTGCTATGGCCTCTATAAGAGATTTAAAGATTAGAAAAACAGAAAATACGAAATTTTTTTCTAAAAAAAATTTAAAATTATTTAAAGAATTTATTAAATGTATGGAAAGGATAAGAAAGTTCGTCTCACGTATTAGTAAATTTCATAAACTTTTAAAATATTTCATTGCTTCTAATATTGAACAAGATTTTAATGATCTTGTAACAGAATTTGATGGATATATGAGAAATTTAAATTTTTCTTTTGTTGTACAATCTAAGGATGAAATATCAAAAATGAGAAATGAAATTAGGCAGATTAAAGATATACTTTTAAATATTTATGGTGTACCCGATGATAAACAAGCTCTTATAGAATTTTCAAATAGAATGGATCAGTTAATTATGAAAAATATAAATTTACAAAAATCGGCAAGACATGTGATCGAAGATTCTTTTGAAATAGAAACAAATAAACCTTTGCTTGATGGTGAAAAATACCAAAGATTATATATACATACAAAGAAGATTGAAAAACGTACATTATATAGTACGTGTGAAGAATTTTGTTTTAAAGAAATTTTACCGGATCTATATCATCAAATTGAAATTAGAAGAGAAGTAAACATTTTAAAAGGATTGAAAGGTTCTGATCACATTATAAGATTTTTTGGTGTAGCTCACGAAGAATCAAAATTTTATTTGATTACAGAATGGATGGAATACGGAATTTTACATGAATATTATACGAATTATAGAGAAATGATCGATTGGAATGCTAAAATTAAATTTGCTTTAGATATTTGTAGTGGTGTCGCGTATCTGCACGAGTGTAAGGTGAGCTAAATTATTACTTGAATTCATAACATTATTAATTGTAAGTTTTTTAATGAATTTCTTCTTTCTTCCTTAGATTCTTCATCATGATATTCGATCGACAAATATTTTAGTAAACAGAGATCATAAGGTTAAGATAGCCTATTTTGGTTTAAGCAAAAACTTTCCTGTCCATTGCAGAAATATTGCGAATAATTTAGATAATACAAGATATATGGCACCAGAGAAATTGTTTTATCATGACAATCATAATATAAAAAAAAAGAAAGTTTACGATTCTAAATGTGAAATTTACAGGTAATATATTTTATGATGCCCTTTTTGTATATTGATATGATATTTTTTTTAAAAAAATTGTTATAATGTTTATATAGCGTTGGAGTATTATTATGGGAGATCGCAGAATTGAAAAAACCTCATTCTGATCTTAATGAAATGGACATGCTTGCTAGTATCAGAAAACGTGTTAGTGAAAGATATTCTTTACCATTTTCAAATAACGTACCTATCGAATGGAGATTTATAGTAGCCAGAGGTAATTATTGTAACTGGATAAATGTTTCATTTTATACATTATAAATCACTCGACTATAGCTAATCTTTTTATTTTATCTTAAGCTACGGAATATGAACCATCGTGGCGTCCTAATATATCTGATATTTGTCGTGATTTATACAACCTCAGTAAAAATTATCAATTAAAATCTACTTCATATGATTCAAATCTTCAATGCGCAGTATCATTTCCTGAAAGCTTTGATAAGCCAATGTTAATAGATGATGATGATGATAGTTCAAGTAATCAAAATAACATACAAAATATTGATTAGGATATTATTTATTATTATGATAAGGAAATTCCCGAATTACAACAAATTGAATTAAATTGTTATAGAAATATTAATATATCAGATAGCAAGGCGAAAGTGTTAGAGTAGATTCCTTTGAAGCACTTAGATATTTAAAATCAGCAGCTTCGGAAATTGTGCTGCAATGTATATTATTGGAAAAGCTTGTTGGAATGGTGGTAATGATGTTGTAAAAGGCCAGCTACAAGGTGCTGAATATTTAAAAATTGAGCTGCCTTGAGAAATCTTCCTATAGTTAAAGAGATGTGTGTCAAAAATTAGTATTAATAATAATTAAAAATTTTTTCGTACCATTTTTTCAGACATTTATTATTTTTATGTGTATTTTAATATAAACCTAAAATTAAAAAAATATGATGGCTGTACAATTTAAATTAACTTCTTTCCTTCTTGATAAAAATAAATTATGACCAATAAAAAAATCAATATGAAAATGCATTTATTTTACTTATCTAATTTAACAAAAATCCTTATCATCGTTGGCCAGAATTATCAATTTTTACCGGCACTATATTTTTTTAATGCTTGTCGATCGTCATAATTTCAGTCACCGGTTAGGTGAGGACGCCAAATTAATCAAAACCATGTCAGAAACATTGATTATTTTACTATAATCAGATTTTATACTATGCAAAACTATAAAATTTATTAAATAAACTTTTTTTATAATAATTTATTATGAAATAAACTCAAGACTCTAAAAGTTTCTTGCGAATATTGTGTACATTTTTCAACTTTCTTTTGGTTGAAAACTGTTCTTAAGAACTATCTCAAAGTAATTACTTTTTTTTTACAAAGGTTTTAAAAATGATTTGATATATTTGCTTAAAAAAAAATTTGAACTAATAAAACACCAAATCTCTAAAGTTTTATATGATAAAGAGAAAGATTTGAACGTAACTTTGTTCTTAAACCATCTATAAACTTGTCATAAAAATTTGAAGGTAAACCCATGTTTTATCAATCGGTGAAACATTTTAAAATTGTCAATTGTAATATGATGCTATTCAGGAAAATCTTGAAGATAATGATCGTGAAAAAAAAGCAAACATATTATTAAACATATTATTTGATAATTTATTTGGTCAAGAATAATTTAATTTTACGTTAAAAGTGATCATTATTTAAAAATTTGCTTAAAAAAATATTTAAAAATTTAAAAAAAATTGATCATCCGTGTAACTGATTATAGTAAAATGCTGACATAGCTTTGATTAATTAGGAGACGTCTCAGTCGTCCCCTAGTCACCGGTGATCATAAAAATAAATTATATCATAGAAATTTTGGGAGTTTAATTAAAAAATTCTTTATAATAATACTAGGAACAAAAATGGGAGCCAAGCGTAACAATATATTTTCAATAAACATTAGTAGTAGTTGTACTGGCCGAATGAGTGGTCAAGATAGTTATTAATTTTCGTAAAATTTAGAGATAGAAAAGCTATTTAGGCGCGGATTGTCTCTAGTTATTATTTTATAACAATCTTACAAGATTAAGAAAATTTGGCAAGTCTTATATATATAGTTACTTCAGTGGAGATGAAAGCCGTTAAGGTAAAATCAATTTATATTACACTGGAAATAATTTAATTTTAAGTGCCTTATTCTTTAATTATTAAATTAAGAGAAAATTTGACCTGCGGAAACTCATAAACGAAATTTTTTGTTTTATTCTCCAGCTACAGATTTATGATTGTTTAATAAAAAACATTCTTGCAGCATATAAAATTAATAATTATAATATAAGAACAAGCAACAGTCCACTGGACCCATATAGCAAATTGACTGAAATTCTTTATTAATTTGGCGATAAAATTATTCATCAACATTCATTATACGAAATTATTTTAACAATCCGCGGAGACATGATACACATTACACAATGTTAACATTAATATAGACTAAAATTAGAATTTGAGTGATTTTTTTCGAAGTTTATTGAAGTGATTCCATTTGACCTTAGTGATGAAATGGAATTTTTTTAATAAAATGAACTTTTGGTTTGAATAACTGATAATTTTTTCCTTTTTGGTAAAAATGTAAAAATGATTTGTTGATGTTTATTTACTTTTTTTTTTCCTAAACAGAAAGCTTTTATTAAATTAAATTCATAAGAATTTTTACATTTTTAAAAACATAGTAAAGCAATTCTCACCATACTGTTTAGCGAATAAAGAAACTCACAATATTAAAGACGAAGTAAGTCGACATAAGTTAAAAAACATGATGTCCCGGACGGGTCAAAACAGTCGGTGGGAAATAAAATAAATTCAGTGTATAAAATTTATGTGCAGTGATGTGCACAAAAGAATTTTAATTTATAATAGGCTGTGCACAATTTTTTTATAAATTTCTTAAATGTAGCACAAAAAAATTTTTCTTGTGTACGGTGTACATTTCAGACTGCTGAGAATTATTTATCCTTTATTATATAAAATTGCATTACTTAGCTATATTATCTACTAATTAGTTAATTACATTATTTAGTCAAGTGATTTAATAATGACATCTACTTCAACATTATTAAATAAAGTATAAAAGTTTTTAAAAAAAGAATTGAATTAAAACTATTATGAAAAGGATTTTTACAACTATTATTTTTAAAATTACACTAACTCAAAGTAAGAATGAATAAAATACTTTGCAAGAAACATGTCAGTCGAGCTCATAAGTTGATTGGATTCAATATTATTATAATAAGTAGAAGTTGGGAATTTATCAAAAGAAGATCACTATTACTATCACGTGTACAATTATTATATTATAACTGACCATCGTAACATTTTTCTATTTAATTTAACTCATGATTCATGTGACTATCAATCATCTGAACGTTCGAAATCAACAATACCAGAATTTGTTGTAGTGGTCTTGTTGTGGGACGTATCACTTACAAGAAAGGTACCCTCATCAACATCTCCCGTATGACAACCAAGTGTTGCGAATTTTTTGTTGAAGTCTTTAAGATCATTGAATGTCATTTCAAGAACATGGGCTATTTTTGGACACTTCATAAACCTGTATCTTGAAGGTTTTGGAATATATGAGGTGAACTTGAAACGTAATATCTCAGTAACTGTGACACGAAACCCGCACAAATTCTCACTTACAATCCTCCCTCCACATATATGAGATCCAGGCCTAAATTCAAGTTTTGGGTTATCAGATTTTAATTCATAATGCCAAATATAACCAGTAGCACAGGTGCCTGCTATACGCAATTTCCATTCATCAGATATAGCTGTAGCATCTTCCTCCCGAGGAAACAAACAGTCCTCCCAAATCAGCGCACCTCGATAATTTCCACTTGCAATTGGGGCAATTTCAATCCTAAGAGATTCAAGGGAATAGCCATATCCCTCTCGTGCAAGTTGTTTCCATTTCGTACTAAGCATTTCATTCACTCCACAAGTAACATCAACATTGATAAAGAACTTTTGGTCTATTTGGTCAATTTTTGCATGAAAATGAGTGCGGATATCTAATGTTTGAATATGATCTTCAGTTCCAACATGTGCTACAGAAGAGACTGAGATAAACTTATCATCATCACCACTGTTATCACCACCACTACGGCCACCACCACTGCGATCGTCACCACTGCGACCAGCATCAATACCACCATGACCCCTTTTAGTAGTATTATGGTCGCTTGATAAAACAATCCCATCCATTGGTTCAACAACTTCAATTACCTCGCTTTCTGCTATATATTCATAATTAAATATTTCCTCAAGTTGCTCTAAAATTGATGGTTTTATGCAACTTGTTACCCAACAGGTAATGCTTGGGGAAAAACAGTTTTTATCGAAACTAGGTCCTATAGCATAGACAGGTTGCGATTTAAGTACCCGATCAATATCATCTTTCTTGTTAAGAAGTAATTCATATAATTGTTCTGATTCATCGTTTATTTCAGCGGAGATTCCACGTAAGGTAGTCGCATCTACTGAAAAAAATTCTGAGCTAACTACACGTTTATCATTAACAAAAACATTAGGTGTGTTAAGGTGAATTTTGTTGTAAGCAGTGCTTTGCAGAGTATCCATATTTTGTGATAAAATTTTTACTCAAAAATAAATAAAAAAAATTGAAATTATACCTGAGAAAAAAAAATTCAAACTTTTATACTTATGTTTGTGCCACCGCTGACAAATTATTACGCAATACGCATCACACGAGATACCTATATCGATATGATTTATCAGATTGTCTCTTAAAAATTACTAGTTCTTTATCAACGGTTATTGATCCGGAATGTTTCATTTTTTTGATTGGCTAAAAATAAATTCGGATCAAACAGAACTACTAATAAAATGATTCATACGATTTATTGGCTTACGTATCTTGATTGTCTTGTTTTTAGAAAATTTAAGTGTTATTGCGTAATATTTGTTTTTAATCTTTCCAAATACTGACACAAAACCGTACATGAAACATAAATATGACAACTATTTATGGAAACGACACGGATACGGATTTATTCCACGGGTAAATATGACAGTTACAATCTCGTTTCTGATTTCGAAGATACTGATTTAAAAAAATATCGCGAATATTGGTGGAAAACGGATAAAAATCATAATACTATTTAAGGCCAAAAAGTTGTTGGGAACTGGGAAGAATATGATAGTTTTACTTAATATTGTTTTACTTAATATTTTAATAAATATATTTTTAAAATTTTGTCAAAAATGGACTAGTATTTTTTATTCTTAAACTGGAACATACTTAATAAATAAAAACTAGGCTAAATTTTTACGTGATATAATGTTTTATATAAATATTCAAATTCAGTAATGATTTTATGATTTCAACCATCAAAATTAAAATTTAAAAGAATAGTGAGTAAATCTTTGGGACGAATAAATATATTGATAAATATCCTAACTGAAGAAAAATTATACACAATTTTATTTAAATATATCAATCGAAAATATTTTATCTTATTTATCTTGCATGTCTTACAGATCAATCAATTACGTATAAGACTACATGACCCATTGTGACCAAATAAAAATCAGGTTTCATTTTTATTATATTAAAAAAAATCAAAATATAAATAACTCTTTTTAAATAAGTGTATAAAAGTTAAGCTAAGCTTTAAATTACTTTGATAATGTGTTTAAGGTTTGCTAGTCATTTATCGTTTATATAGATAACAATTTGATTGTTAGGAAATTTCCTTGTTGTAATCAGTATTTTAATTGTTTATAAACAGATGAAAATTATTATGACTTCCGTCCTATATTTTATATTATAATAATAAAATATAGTAACTGTATTAACAGCGTTCATTTAATTAGTTAAATTAACTAAAAAAAGCTTCCTCTTATATCATTACAATTATGTGATTATTTTCGTAATATCCGTCTATTCTGATATTCAAGTAAAAAAAACCATATGTAATACTTATTTGGTTGGAGTTATTAAGAAGCTTTGAAATTTATGGGAATCATTTTTAAGAATCGGGTCTTTAGGGATCAGTTTATAAGCTATAACAAAATAAAAGGTGAACGATGAAAAAAATATTAATAAAGTTTATACGAGGGTGGCTTAGCATTACACAGGTCAAATGATATCCATAGTATTTATAGTAAAGCGACTAAAAACGTGATTTTATTTTTGTAACCAGTATCATTATTATAGAAATAAATCGACGAATCACACCAATTCGAAATTCGCAAAAAAAGTTGTAAGATATGAAAAAAAATGAAAAATAATTCGTGGAAATTGAGAAAGAAATGTAAAAAAAAAAAAATAATGAAATAAAAAAATAAAATACAAAAAAAAAAAAAAAAAAAAAAAGAAAGTTACGGCTGATTTCATAATGTACGGGACACTTAGCAAGTTTTAAAGAACTCGGAAATATTCGGTAAAGCTCAAAATAAGATAAAATTATACCACCATTCTCGGAATATTACTCCAATGATTTTTATTTTATATCAAGCTTTACCGAATATTCCGAGTTTCTAGCCATAATAAACGCGGAATAGATCAGGCGCAGACATATCAGGTGCTTTAATGTTACAAACGTGACCGAATTTTTTTTTTTTTTGACCTTTTTTTTTCAAGCCATTTAATTAAGTTTTTATTTTCGATCTTTTTTTTTCAAACCACTAAAAAAAATTTTTAATTATTTTTTTTTTCAGTCCAAACAAAAAAATATTTTCTTTTAAATATTTACTAGATTATAATAAAAGATAAATTTCTTGATGATAAATACAATACCATGAATCAGTTTAATTGTCTGGAGGATTGAGCAAGGAAAGAGACGCACGTTGCATCTATTTATTCAAGATGGTATTTTTCTTAATACGGTATTCTAATATCCATACCACAATCTTTTTTGAAAATAAAATAAAATTGAATTGTTTATTTAGATTATCGACAGTTAGATAAAAATTATTTAGATTACCCCGTATTAATTAATTTGAATTGTGTAATGTGTAGAACGTCTCCATCGAAATTAATGAATTAAATTCGTATAATGATTCGATTGTATCAATTGATATCATTTTAATTGATGAAATTATATCAGATATTTGATATATTATTTGTGCATAATTTATTATGGGTATAACTAAATTTTATCATTTTAATGTAACTTTAATTAATTAAAAATGTAACATTGGGAATTTTCTTTTGTACGAAAGAATAAAGATATCTGATGTTAATTTTTCAAGTTAATTTTTTTTTTATAAAAAGAGAAAAAGATAAATCAAAAAATGTCCATTTTTATTTGAATTTTTTTTTTTTTTATAAAAACTGAGACGAACAAAAAGAGACAATGATAATTCAAATATAGGAAACGACTTCCAATTTTAATTTTGAAAAATTTTGATTTTTTGAGTTTTCTTTTAAAAAGGATAAATTAAAAAAATGGTGATTTCCTTTTCTAAAAAGTAACCTTAAGGTTAGTTTCATCTATACTAACAAGAGATGAGTTTTTGCGTCGATTTGGATTACCAGCATTTCAAGTTCATTAAAGAAATTGCGAATGATCGACATATGTAGTATGCAGTTGTAAGCATGACGGCATAGCTGTATAAATCTTGCTAATTTTGGACTCATTAACAGGTTTATCTGCTGTGTTACCTGCTGTGTTGACTTTAAAAACGCCGAATTTTTTTTAAAATAGTTTAGTATAATATACACTTAAAACGACAAAATGACTTCGGTGAAAAAATGGATTGATAAAAAGATAAAAGATAAACATATTAGTTATTATAAATATAATAAATTTAGTAAAATTGTTGAAATTGGTAGAGGAGGTTTCGGTAAGGTGCAAAGAGCAGAATTGGCTAATACGGGATTAGTCGCACTAAAAAGTTTTATTGATGAATATTCAAACATTGAAGAAGATGAGCTCAATAGAATTGATGATGAGTTTGTCAAGGAAGTAAGAAACCTTTATTTATGTTGTGCAGTACATTAAATTTATATGTAGAAATAAAACAAATTAATTTATTTCACCATTTAGCTAAAACTCCTTCGTGAGGTTAAATATCATCAAAACATCAACTGTATTCTAGGAATAACAAAAGGCTAGCTTTAAAATTTTTTTTAAAAAACAACAAATATAAAAAAAAATTTATTAATTTACCTTAAAATTAATACGGCTATTTATGTATAAATTAATAGTTTCTAAGCGATATATTTTGGTGTTGGAGTATGCTAATGAAGGAACTTTAAGAGATTATTTGAAAAAAAAATTTACTTCGTTGGAATGGATGGATAAAACTCAAATGGCATTGGATATTGCTTGTGGGTTAAAATTCTTGCATTTCAAAGAGATTATTCATAGAGATTTGGTGAGTATTTATTTTATTTTTCATGATTTTTGTTTATGATAACAATCTAATCATTTTATTATTTTTATAGCACTCGAAAAATATATTAGTAAATAATGGAAAATTATTAATTGCTGACTTTGGATTGTCTAAAAAGTTTGCAGAAGCTAGAATTAATTCATTAGCTAATACAAGGGGAATGATTGAATATACTGAACCACAATGTTTCAAGTCTTTAAAATATAAGAAAAATAAAAAGTCTGATATTTATAGTTTAGGTGTTTTATTATGGGAAATTTCAAGCGGGCGTCCTCCTTTTTCTGACTGTGAGCGGAGTTTACTTAGAGATCACATTAAAGATGGTAATAGAGAAGAACCAACTGAAGATACACCTCTAAAGTATCAACAACTTTATCAAAAATGTTGGGAAAGCGAACCAAATTCAAGACCAGATATTGAAGAAGTATATGAAACTATAAGTCAATTAAAAACTGAGGATTTTTCTTTGCTACCATCCCCACAGTCTAATATTAATGAAATAAAAAGTTCAAACATTGATTATAATGATGACTTAAACATTTCTGATGATCTAAATTCAAAAAGTAAGTTTAATTTATTAACAAGGATTCTCAACATCTACTATGTTTAGTATCCACTATATATATTTATGTTATCTATTTATATTCATTTTATTTCTCCACTTTCACCATTTATAGGAGAATCTTCACATAAACCTAATGGTTTCATAAAAAAAGTCTCAAAATATTTTGATAGTGAGTTATTACGTTCTGGTCTTCGGAGTATGACATTACGTACACGTCGTGGTATGTTTAACTCATTTAAACATCTACCAATTTATGTACTGTATATTTATGTATTCATTAATATTTATACATTTTGCTGCCTTCACCATTTATAGGAGAAAAATATTTTGATGGTAAGTTATTTAATTCCATTATATTTATTTTATATTTATATATAATTCAAACTAACTATATTCTTTGTTTTTAATAAATTAGATTGTAAGTAATATATTTAATTTTATCACTATAATATTTTTATACGAATATTTCATTTAACTAATTAATGGCAAATAATTTTACAGGGTGTAAGTTATATGTTGTCTACATTTCTGTTATTTATATATAATCAAATTAACAAAGTTCTTTATTTTAAAAAATGATTTGGCCAATATAGGGAGTAAGTTAAAATTATTTAATATTATTATTTAATATTTATAAAGTTTACATATTATTACAACTAACTAAATTCTTTAGTAAGTAATAATATAAGGAACAATAATATAAGGAGTAGAAGTAATATAAAGAGTAAGTTATTTATTTAATTCCATTATCTATTATTATACATTTATATAGTACTCATGTAATCTAAAATTAATTCTTTTATTTGGTGATTATTTAGGTTGTAAGTTATTAGTTATTTCTATTATAATATATTTATGACAATATTTACAGTATTTATAATTTTAATAAACTGAATTTTTAAAAAATCTGGTGATTTACTATTTACTTTAGTTGGTAAGTTGTAAATTTTAAGTTATACATTCAGTTATTTATACATAAACTAAATTTATTATTATATTGAATCCCTGCCTATCTAAATTATAGAGTAAGCATTAATAATACATTTTTTTTTAATTTAAATCTTTATGTGAACTTTATACGAACTATAATATAATTTTAATTATTTATATTTATAGATTCGGGAAAAGTGGAAATACAATTATAGATGATTTTATTCTTGAAAAAAAGTTAAGATGGATTCCTTATAACAAATTTAAAAATGTTGGATATCTTTCAAAAGGAGGATTTGGTATTATATATATAGCTACTTGGTTAAATAATGATGAAAATAAAGAAGTAATTCTTAAATGTCGCAGTGAATTAAATGAAAATTTAAATGAATTTTTAAAAGAAGTATGATATTATATTATTTTCTATTTTTGATTTTAATTTTTTAAATTAAAATTAATAAATTATTATTATTTTTTATAGTGTGAATATCATACAAGTATTTTAAGTTCAAACGATATTATAGAATTTTATGGATTTACAAAAGATCCAGATACATTGAAATATATGGTAGTAATAGATTATGCAAATAAAGGTAATTTAAGAGATTTAACAAGAATAGTTGAAAATAATTGGAATCAAAAATTATTTATGTTGTACCAAAATGTTTCTGGACTTAGTAAGATACATGAACAAAATCTTATTCATTGTGATTTTCATGATGGCAATATTTTAATTCATAGAGATAAAAAGGATAAAGAAGATAAAGTTTATATATGTGATTTTGGATTATGCCAACCTGTAAAATCTTTTTTGATAGAATATGATTATTATGGTGTTAGTTTTAAGAGGCAAATTTTATACTCCAGCTAGTGATATATATAGTTTTTCTATGATTATGTGGGAACTTACATCCGGAGTACCACCATTTAATAATAGAACACATGACGTTTATCTTTGTTTAAGTATTTGTAAAGATGGTGAACGTCCTGAAATTATTGAAAATACTCCACAATGTTATGTAGATTTAATGAAAAAATGTTGGAATGAAGATCCATTAAGAAGACCATCTTCTAAAGAAGTATTAAAAATTATTGAAAAATGGATTTTTTATTCTTATGAAGTTAGTGAAGAATTAAAAAGCAACATTATGGAATTTATAAATGCACCAATTGGGCAGCATAACAATCTTGTTAATGAATCACATCCACAAGCATGTGATACAAGTAGCTTACTTAATTTTACTAGTAAAGAATTGAATGAAATTCTTGAAAATGAAATGCTAAATGAAGATTTAGTAAGTGAAGATTTGAGTGAATGTACGGTTAATTTGAAGTCATTAGGTATGTGCTATGATATATAAAAAATTAATCTTGCAAATTATTTATGTAAAATTAATTTATTTATTTAGATGAAAATACTAGTAAAAAGTTGAATGAAATTCTTGAAAGTGAAGATTCACAAGCTAGTGTAAGAGCAAATGAAATGCTAGTAAGTGAAGATTTGAATGATTATATGATTAAAGATTTGGAATCATTAGGTATGTGCCATGATATATAAAAAATTAATCTTGCAAATTAATTAATTTTATTTATTTATTTAAATATTAAAACAGATGAAAATTAACTAATTTTTTGGGTTTTTTAAAAAAAGATTTAATAGTTTTTTTTAAGTTAATTTTTGATATTATGCATTCAACAGAAATTGTTCTTTATCTTATTCTTTTTAGATTTATTTAAACACTAAGGTTAGAGTACTAGTAAATATTTTACAAGATTCTTAGTTTGTAATTTAAATAAATTCCTTTTTTTATATTTTATCCAAATATTAAATATTATATTCTTTTTTAAGAATTATTTAAACACTAAAGCTAGAGAAGTAAATATTTTACAAATTTTGATTCTTAGTTTGTAATTTAAATAAATCTTTTTTATTTATAACTCTTCAATTATTAAATATAAATTATCAAAATAATAATAAGTATATAAAACTCATTATCATTTTAGATGTCAAGTTTCTACTGTTGCTTCGCACCAGGATTGTAATGCTGGAATTATATGATCGTCATATAAATTTCACTTTTTTAAACTGGCCAATGGAAGTAAGGTTGCACAATTTAGAATTTATTTATACAGGTAATCTGAACGTAACAAATTTTTTTAATTATATAGATTTGATAATCCTGAAATGCATTGATTTTTTGACAATCATATCTTGAGATGAAAATTTGGATTAGATTTCACATTTTAATCTAACCGTATTCTCAATTTGGACACAAAAAATCTCTTGTTAATGTGTAGTTAGCCGAAAAACAGAGCCGTATTCCTGATTGTCGATCAGTTTATTCGCAGAAATCATCTGGAATTCCACAACGATCTACGCCTGAGCCGGGTCCAGATCACGTTGCGATTAATTATTTTTTGGCTAACTACACCATTATTCGAAAAAGTGCAATTAATTTGAAAGATTCAATTTATACAAACATTAAACAATTTTTAAAGATTATTCTTTTAGATTCATTCTAATAGCTTAAAATTAGGAAGTATACAGTTGATCTATGCAAGCATGGCGGCAGCAATATGCATAATTATATAATCCGTTTTTACTAATTTTGTACTCATGAACAGGTTATCAGCGTCTGTGTTACCTGTGTTAATTGACTTCTAAACGCCGAATTTTTTTTTTTTTAAATAAATTCTCAGCATTATAACTTAAGTGACAAAATGACTTTGATGACAAATGGATTGATAAAAAGTTATAAGATAAATATATTCATTATTTTAAATATGATGGATTTAGTGAAATTGTTGAAATTGGTAGAGAAGATTTCGTTAAAGTGAGTAAAGTGAATTTTGCTGACACGAAATTAGTCGCACTAAAAAGTTTTGTTGATGAATATTCAAGCATTAAAGATAACTCAATAGGCTTAATGATGAGTTTATCAGGGAAGTAGGAATCGTTTTTTCATATACAGATTTATATATAAATATAAAATAATATTAATTTATCTCACTACTTAGAATTCTAGGAATAACAAAAGGTTAGGGTTAAATTTTTTTTTTAAAAAAAAATAAATAGATAATTTATTACTAAATTTACCTTAAAATTTAAATACAACCTATTTATTAGATCCTATAAGCTATATTTTGGTGTTGGAATTGCTGGGCTTTTAACATTAATTCAAGCATATCATCTATATAGGGAAAATTGATCCGAATATCAAAAGTATGTATATTTACTTTATTTTTAATAAATATTTTAAATAATGACATGTGAATTAATTTCTTAAATTCAAGTATTGATCTATATTTGAGTTCAACATCTTTAACCCATTATTTAATAGAGGAAATAATTTCTGTGTATACTAACGAAGAATGGCATTGGATATTTCCATTAGTCTACCGACAGGCTCATTTTCACAAGTACTTATTTTGAGAACACTTTCACAAAAATAATCATCTACGGATAAACAACTAATATGAAATGCAGCAATTGTTGTGAAGCTAGAAGATATTAACCAGAAAACTTAGAAAAAAATCAGGGGAAAAAAATTAAAACTAGAAAAAACCCGAGAAAAAAAACATTTAATCGCTTATATCTTTACGTCACTTACGTTTGCGTTTGTGCCATAAAAATGATCATATCGATATATATTTTTAAAAAATTGTCAAAAATGGACTAGTATTTTTTATTCTTAAACTGGATCATACTTAATAAATGATAATATTGTGTCAAAACAACGTTAAGTTCGAAAAATTTTAAGGCCCAATCTTGCAAATGGCCTATCTTAATTGTAATAAAAATTAAAGGTGCAAATAAAATTTCGAAAATCATCCTAATTCATATGTAAATTAAATATTTATAATGTTTATTTTTTTCTTTATTTTTCTTTGTACATATTACTAATTGAGTTAGTTTTCATGATCAATAATCAGGTCGTTTTATTTATTTTAAAAACATTTTAACAAATTATCTGTACCAAATTAATGATCATATCCTGAAATGCATTAAATTTTTGACATTCATGCCTTGAATTGAAAAATTGGAAAAATTGGGCGGTATTTTTAGTATTTTTATTTTGATAAAACTCGCAGATAATTTTATATACAGTATTGTAGTATAACACTTTTATGGGAAATTACTTTCCATTTTTGAACTAAATTTTTTTTCTCTTTTCTTAATGAAAAATTCAAAAAAATTTTCAAAACTGAAAATGGAAATCACCTTCCATTTTTGATCTTAAACTTTTTTCTCGTAAATCATTGTTGGTTTTTTCATCAAAAAATTCGAAGTTCTTTTTTAATAATGCAGTACTAATAAAAATAATTGTAAGAGTGTAAGAGATAATTATTTTTTAAAAAAAAACAATAAAAGAAATCAATTGAAAATGACCTGTCATTTACACAATAGTAAGTGTTTTATAGTATATCATATAGTATATTTTATTGTTGAACCCTATTTTCTTTCGCTTGGTTTTTTTTCATTTTAAAAGATTTAAAAAATGATTAAATTTTAAAAAGCTTCGGAACTATTACTATTACATTTGAAAATAATATTGAGAATACGAATAAAATAAAAGAAAGTTTTAAAAAATATAGATCTTTCAGAATTACTTAAATTTTCAAATCCGCCTATTATAGTATAATCAATAGTTAATTTTTACTGAAAAATCTCTAGAAACGGATAAATAAATACATATAAAATTTATTACCCAGTACTCCAGTAACTTTGTAAACTTTGTAATTATTGCGCAGTCAAATGAAAGAATCTTTTTTTTTTATCAATCAATATAGGGATTATTTTACTACGTCATCAAAATTTTAACTCCATCCGGTTAAAAGTTAAAACAATTGATTTTAATTTTTATAAATCTTCAGCGCAGTGTTACATGCATGTTACAGTTGTATTACTAAACAATTATTACCTTATCCAAATTGAATAGTACAATTGCGATGTGTCGTATTTCCAATTAGATATTAGTAATTTGTTGATTATAAACATTAAACTATTATAATTAGAAAAGTTTGATTTAATGTCAATTTAATTCAACGTTATAAAAAATAAAGAATTTTGTTAGTATCGTATAAGTGGCATAAAAGGCTTGAATTTCTAATAATTCTTAATAATGAAAAGATGAAAAATATGAGGCAATAAAAATGATAAGCAGTAGTCATGACTATAATAAAGTTTATGAATATGGAAAGAATATTTTGTGAATAATGTTGCAAATAAATATCATGAGCGAGTATTATTTAAAAGCAAAATCTTTGGATTTATCTGAAATAATTGAATGATTTAATAAAGAAATGTCAATTGGTAATTGAATGGGTTTTCCATATAATAATTTACAAAATATTGATAATTTAGCTTAAGGTGAATACTCTAAAATTAATACAGCTATGGAGATTATTTGAGTGGGTTGATATGAAACTAGTATGAAACTATTAAAAAATACAAGTAGTACTTAAAAATTTAGGATATCTCAAAGTGCCAATAGAAGCTAATCTAAAAAGCAATTTTCAATTGATATGTACATTTTAAAATGTTGTTTAAAATCTATATAGGCTAAAAATCATTCAATTATAAGTAATAAATGTGCCATACTTTTTACATTGTCTTGATTTAGCTCAAAATCCAAACCGGTAATTACAGTATATGCTTCAGTTGTATCAAAACATTTTGACATAAATTTAAGGAAATATTTACAATCAAATCATGATCAACTTGGGACACTTCACCTTGTATTTTGAAGGTTTGGAATATATGGGGTATATAGCAAACATGTATTGTATGGTTAGCTTTGTATGTATTGTATTATTAAAACTTTTTAATGTATGTAATGTATGGTCTTTTAAAATTATGTATGTATTGTATGATAAATGTGGTAATTTCATGTATTTTATTACCAAATATAACTATTTCACATTTTTCATTATGATTGTGTACTGGCTAAAACAATTCAACGTGTATTATTATAATCTTTTTTTTCTTTTTATTTAAAAATAAATATTTCTACCATGTTTATTACTTTTCATTTAAAAAAATTTAAAATAAATATTTCTATCGCGTTTTTATTACTACAATCTCTTTCTTTTCATTTAAAATATTTCTATTACGTTTATTATTATGTCTAAAGTAAATTCTATTATTCTTTCAGATATTGAGACTATATCTGATGATGAAACTATATCTGAAAATGAAATTTAATTCCTTGAGTCATCATCTATGAATATTGTAAATATTTGCATTATCTCTAGCAATACATTAAGAAATATTTATTTATAATAAAAAATAATTTTTTTTTTTTGTAAATACTAATCTTTATGTATGGCGAAAATAAGTATGCCATACATAGCAAACGTTCATTTTAATATCCATACATGTATGGACACAATCAAAAATACATAAGCATACAATACATACAACGTTAAGCATACACTACATGTTTTATAATCACCTGAATATATGAGGTAAACTTGAAACATAATATCTCAATAACTGTGATGCGAAACCTGCACAATTTCTTACCCACATATATGAGATGACAAGATTTGGGACATCAGAATTTTTTTCATGAGACTATCCATATCCAGTAGAACTAGTGCCTGCTATGCGCAATTTTCATTCATCAGATTATAGTTTTAGTTTTAGTACTATTAACCTGTTTGTATTGGAGTTCAAGCTTTGATGCTGCTGTAATTTCCAAACTACCTTATTTTTTGGTGATTGTTAAGTGTTCAACAGTAACATTTTTCTCCTGTGAAAACAAATAGTCCGCCTAAATAAGCGCACATTTACTTTTTATCACTTGCAATTCGAGCAATCTCAATCTTAGGATGTTCAAGGAAATAGCCATAACCCTCTCACTTGCAAGTTGTTTTCATTTTGTACTAAGCATTTTCACTTATTCCATAAGCGTCATCAATATTAATAAAAATGTTGAATTAATTTGGTCAATTTTTGCATGAAAACTCGTATAGTTGACTAATACTTGAATATTCTCTTGACTTTCAGTCTCAACATTTGCTACAGAAGAGAATGAGATAATTTATTATTGTCATCCACTCCATCACTACCTTTATCACCATTACCCTTTCTATAATTACACCATTACTACTGTTACTGCCAACCCTGCTATCATTATCACCACTGTGATAATCACCACTGCACTGCAATTATTACTATCAAGTATCACCATCACCATCATTATTCCTTTCAAATCTTCTTGTAGTATTACTGTCATTTGATAAATCATTTCCATCCATTGTTAAACCACCTCAATACCCTCTCTTAATACTCTATATTCATAATTAAATATTTTCTTAAGTTGTGATGATTCTAAGCAACTTGTTACCCAACAGATGAATTTCATCAAAGCTGGGTCTATAGAATACACAGGTTGTGATTTAAATCATCAATATTATCTCTTTATTCATAAGTAGTTTATATAATTGTTCTGCTTCATCAAGTATATTAGCTGAGATTCCACGTAAGATAGTTGCATCTACTGAAAAAAATTCTGAGCTAATCACAAATTTGCCATTAACAAAAACATTGGGTGTGCCAAGGTGAATCCTGTTATAGGCAATACCATCAACATTTTGCATTTTATCAAGAGGTGTATCTATATTTAAATATAATTGAAACAAAATTTTTATAAGTCTGTGAATAGACTAGTCCAAAAATAATAAAAATTGAAACACACCTTACATGTACTTTCCCTTTTCGTTCTCCCCTTCCCTTTTCCCTTTTCCCGTTTCCCGTTTCCCGTTTCCCGTTTCCAAAATGGAAAGTTTCGAAGTAATCTTCAATAACATTTCTCCCTTCTATTTGTTGTGTTGACAACTTATCAGACTCGAGTTTGAATGTTCTTATCGGATCTGCAAAATTTAAAAAAGATATTAAATATTTCACATTATGAACGTCAAAAATAAGAAAGTGCAAACTGCAAAGTATTATTTACCCTCTAAATCTCTGTAATTTCTCTTATTAAGCATGTGACATCAAAATCATGACAGACCAACTCTTCTTTTGATTCACCCGATTTAATCCAAAAGTTTTTCTAATTCCTGCCTTTTATGACAGATAATGAGATTGCAAGTTTGATGAATTGTGAAAATGAACTCGAACTCATATGTTCCATTATTCTTGACACATTAGATTTGAAGTCCTTTATATGTATCTACAATTTCACCTTCTAGGCTTACTATTGCTGTACTTGTATATAACTTTATCACCTGGAATTAGCTGTTTTTCATCAATACATCTTTTAAAAGTGATGCAGGAAAAAGGTCGTACAATTATAATATAGTGTTTCATATGAAAGAACTCAGCAACAGCCATATTTGAGATTAACTCTTCACTTCCTAGTACAGCTTTATGTTAGCAAAAGGATTGGTTTCAATGTAGGCTAGTTTATCAGTCAAATTGTCTAAAGAAAGATCGATTTTCAGAAATCTAAAAGTATCAGGATTGATATTGTCAAAACCACATTTTTTTATGCTTTCCATTAGTCTACCGACAGGCTCATTTTCACAAGTACTTATTTCGATAACATTTTCGCAAGAATAATCATCTACGAATAAACAACTAATATGAAATGCAGCCATCATTGTAAAGCTAGATGATATTAATCAGCAAACTAGAAAAAATATCAGGGGAAAAAAAATTGAAAAAAAAACCAGAGAAAAAAAAAATTTAATCGCTTATATCTTTACGCCACTTACGTTTGTGTCACCGCTGATAAATTATTACTCATTGCACGATTTATTCTTAAATTGAGATTTTATTTGGATCATACTTAATAAATAAATAAAATAATAATATTAAATCTAATTTTGTATTATACTACAGGTCGCACAAAAAATTTTAAGGTGTAAATAAAATTTCGAAAAATCATCTGAAATTTAAATATTTATAATTGTTTTTTTTTTTTCTTTATTTTTTTTTGTATTACAAATTGAGTTAGTTTTCATGATTAATAAATCAGGTCTTTTTATTTATTTTTAAAACATTTTAACAAATTATCTGTACCAAATTAATGATCATGTCCTGAAATGTACTAATATTTTGACAAATCATACCTTGAATTGAAAATTGGGCGTATTTTTAGTATTTTTATAGATTCATTTTTTGAAAAAACTCGTGGATAATTTTATATATTGTTAGTATAACGCTTTTTATGGAAATTGCTTTCCATTTTTGAACAAAATTGATTTCTCTCTTCGTAATGAAGTTTTTTTGAAAAATTCAAAAAAAAAAATTTCAAAAATAAAAATGGAAACAACTTCCATTTTTGTTTTCTCTTTCGTAAATCAAAAGTTGTTGATTTTTCATCAAAAAATTCAAAGTTCTTTATTTTTTTTAATAAAAATAATTGTAAGAGATAATTATTTTATTGCGCTTTTCAAAATTGTGCTACCCCCTATAGATCATAATAATTACTTAGTAATCAGAACGTACACAGAATTCTAGAAACTGCGATAAAAAAAAACAATAAAAGAAAATTTCAATTGAAAATATGATTATTCCTAAAAAAGAAATTTTTATCTCATTTTAACTTAGTATAAGTTTTAAAAAAAGGTCATGTTAAAATAAGATAATTGACTAGTCTAAAAATGCTAAAAATGAGACTAATAAGACTAATAATAAATTTTTTCTGTTAAGAATTTATTTTCAAATAAAAGAAAAACTTTTACAAAAAAACTTTTATAATATCAATTAAGAATGATCGATTCTATAATGATAGAGACTTTTAATATAAGTTCCCCTTCTGTTAAATCTGTTTCTTGTTATTAAACAGAAAAAATCAAACCAATATTTTTTTTCAATTTGAATATCATAAATATATAGTAATAATGAATAAATAACTTATAACTTTAATACCATCTAAAATAATTTGCCAGAGGTTTTGGGTATATTTCCTTTATCACGCCATCCTCTAAAATGATTTTATTTCGTTTGTGAAGATTCGGTTTTAAAACCACTGGAACGATAAATATTAAAAATTCAATTTTAAAAAAAAAGATTATTAAAATCTCAGTTTTAAAAACCTGAGATAAAAATAAAAAAAATTCGGTCTAAAAAGAGAGACCGAAAAAAAAAATATATAAATCAAATGATCTAAACACAAAGACCGAAAAAATATCATTATTTTAAAATAATTCAGCCAAAAAAAGAACTGAACCAGGCGTCCTAATATATCATTATATCTGATATCTGTCGTGATTTTACAACTTCAGCAAAAATATAAATAAAAATCTATTTATATGATTTTACTATTTTTAATTTTGAATTTAACAGAATATCTTTGTGGTTTTGATGAGCCAATGTTTAATCAAAATACTATCATATTTAAATAGCTGCTTTAAATAATCATTCTAAGCTAAAGAATTTGTAGTTTTATTTATTGTTCGTTTTAATGTTAACTATTAAAAAAATTACTATGTTGTCTAAACACTAAATATTAGTATTTTTGTGAATAAACATTAAATTATTTATAATTAATAAAGTTTGATTTTAAATATTATTAATGTACTGTACTTTATTTTTACGATTCTATTTTAATTCAACGTTGTTAAAAGTATTTTATCACGTAAAAGTATTTTATTATATAAATTTTGATTTTTTTTTTTTTATTCTGAAATATAAAATTTTTTCTCATAAAGAAACAAATTTTTAGTTTTACGGTATTACGAAATAAATTTATTTAATAATAATATTTGTGTTTATATTTTTGTTACTACGCTAATATTTCGTGTTTATGTTTATATTATTATAGTCACGTGGAAATAATCTTATTGCGCTATATAAATTAGTGACACTACAGTATATTTCGTTCTAACTAAATGCAGTTAGCAGATCCTCATCCATATTAAAAAATTCCGAATTTTCAAAAAAAAAAAGAATCCCTTCCTAAATTTTTTTTTTTTAAGAAAAATTAATAAAATTATCTTTTGAAATATGTCAATTATTCGATACGAATCAGTTTTTGATGCAGTTCAAAAACTTAACGTAATTGATTTTAATGATGAATTGAATGAAAGTGATATCAGTAGTGATATGGATAAAAGGTTTGAATTTCAAAAACAAATGATTTATGATGATGAAACTCTTACAGAAGATGAAAAATCTAAAGCAATAATCATGATAAGCAATAGTCATGATTATAATAAAGTAATGTATCAACTTGGAAAGAAAAGATTTTGTGAATATTGTCAAAATGAATGTTTTGCAACTAAATATTGTGAATATTGTATGCAAAATTATTTAAAAGCAAAATTTTCAGATTGGACATCTGGTAATAATGAAATTGATGATTTAATAAAAGTATGTCAAACGGTATCACTTCATCCAGATATGATAATTGAATGGGTTCCATTTAATAGTTTACAAAATATTGAATTTTTAGCTCAAGGTGGATTTTCTAAAGTTTATACAGCTGATTGGATTGATGGAGATTATTTTGAATGGGATTCTAAATCTCAACAATTAAAAAGATATGGAACTATTGAAAAAGTACAAGTTGTACTAAAAAATTTAGGAAATCTTGAAAATGCAAATAAAAGTTGGTTTGATGAGGTACGTACTTAATATAAAAAAAATTGAATAATTTTAGTGTATATATATTTTAACAATATTTTGAAAATTTTTATAGGCAAAAGTTCATTTAGTTATGAGTAATAAATATACATATTTATTACGTTGCCTAGGTTTAACCCAAGATCCATCAAATGGTGATTATATGCTTATAATGAGACGTTTTGATACAAGTTTAAGAAAATATTTACAATCAAATCATGATCAACTTAAATGGAAAGAAAGAATTGAAATCGCTTCTAGTATAATAACATCTCTTTTTCATATACATATAGAAGGTTTAATTCATAAAGATTTACATTCAGGAAATATATTATATAAAAAATTTGCCAATAATTGGGTTATTAGTGATTTTGGTTTTTGTGGTCCTATTGATGAGCCATTAGGAAGTGTATATGGAAATCTTCCTTATATGGCCCCAGAGAGTTTTACTGGAAAAGGTTATTCATTAGCATCTGATGTATATAGTATTGCAATGTTAATGTGGGAAATTTCATCTGGTCTACAACCTTTTGCTAATTATGAAAATAATTTTAATCTTGCTGTAAAAATTATTAAGGGTATGAGACCAGATATTGTATCAGGAACTCCTTTAAAATATAAAGAATTGATGGAGAAATGTTGGGATGCCGATCCTTCAAAAAGACCCGATATTAGTGTGGTTTTACTTGAAATGAATGAGATTGAAAAATGTTATCATCAAAATATATCACTTGAATTATTTCAATCAGAAACAAATACTAGTAATTTATTAACAAGTTCAGAAACGAAGAAAAGTGAGGTTTATCAGTTTGGAAATTTATCCATTGAACCAAAGAATGCAACAGAAGGTATAGTTAATTATTAATAATCGGTTATTATTTTTTTTTTAAAAAAAAAGTCTTATTAATTAATGAAAAATCTCTATTTGATTTAGAAGAACAAAAAGGTCAGTAATTTTTTTTTTTGTGAAATTAAAAATCAAGTTGCGTGAACATATACTAATTATTTCAACTGTTAATAGTACCTCAAAGCGAATCTGCTGACTTCTTGCAATTATATGATGATTTTTAACGAATCAAGTAATCAATAATTTTCGAGGTAACTTACAATAAAAGTAAGTATGGTTACTAATAAATTTGGATGATAAATATATTTTAATTTATTGACGTTAGAATTTATGAAACAATACAGAAATATTTACTAGGAAACGGAACCGTAAATCTGAAGCAAAAAAAAGAGACAAATTAAATTTTTGCGATTTATTGGATGAAGATCACGTAAGTTGACAGAGAAACACGCATGACCATATATTGTCGCTCCAGACAATGATGATTTATTTATTATTAATAGTAATAAGCTTCTAAGTTATTTTCTTTTTTGATAATAATCTCATATGAATATTATTGGTGCATGTTTTTAATTAAAGTATTTTAGATATACAAGTTATTTATAAATTGATTTATTTTATTATTTCATTTTGAAATTGTAAGGATTTTATTTTTCATTAAATATTAGGATTTGTTATTTATGAACGATGATGAATTTGATGCCTATATAATAGTGTAATTTATATAGTCCAAATAATTCTTTAATATAATACAGTTGTACGATGAATTAAATGTAATAATTACATGACCATATACAATTTCTTAATGGTTAGAGCTTATTTAAATTTTATAGTTATATATCCTACTGTTTTGCGAATACAAGAAACTAAAATGTACATTGAAATTCAAGATATCATATAAAGAGGAAATATTATATTTAGGAGATTAATGTCTTGTAATTAATACTATATATAAAATAATATAAAATTAATGTCTGAATTCTGAAATTTTAGTATTACAATTATAAAGGTTAAAATATTAAAATACAGTATTGATAAATTTAATTATCGTATATAGGATCATGACCAATTTTATTTGATCTCTATGAAAAATAATCGTTCGATTTTGTATAATATCCATATGGAAATCATACGATTATTGTAGTTTTTGAATAAAAGTAACCATAAGAATCAAGAATTTATGAAAAATGTATGATATTTATACAATTTTAAATAAAAAGTGCGATTTATATACGATTTGGTGTATGATTTATGTAATATGTATGATTAAATTTTAGTTTAGATTAATGCATGATAATTGTACAATTCATATTTTGAAATGATAAATAATTTTTAAAATCGTAAAATTCCATTATGTCAAATCAACTAAATTGTTAGCGCTCATAATAATATTATTGGAATTAATTTCTAATAACAAAAATAAATACAGTACAATAAAACATAATCTGCATTAGCCATACGATAATATAGATATGATTGTACATTGGTTAGCGTCACTTCGTTACGTTAGCCAAAATAAATATAACAACCGTACAATATCCATAAATTAAAAATCTTTCTTAAATATTAGAATTAAAAAGGATTACGTGAAATGCATGACATAAATTATATTTATTTCTTTAAAAATAAACTAATTAAATAAAAAATTCTGATAAATTCACCTGGGGCTACATCTCATACCAGGTCAACTATCGCTTCTATAAGGCATCTTAACCCTCAAATTTGTTTACCATTAATACTGTCAAGTACCACTCTATCAAACGGAACAAAGATGAATACAATAATAATAAAATAAATAATACTAAATAATAGGATATCACAAAATAACAAAATAACAATGATGAAATAATGTTGATAACGTGTCTACTGCAAAAATATGGAAAAAGTGTTCATATTGTATATAAAACAATAAATATATATTTCAATATGTTTGTTTCGCCATACTCTTGTTTTAAATGATTCATTTTCCAACTTTAAATTGGTTAAAACAAAGTATATTACTAAATTTATATGTATTGTTTTTTAACAATTAAGGTTAGCGTCTTTACCCATTTATGCCTCCAACAATCCAACACTCGTTCAAACCATGATGCATGTTATAATTTAAACAGGCAATCAATATATTGTAAATATATTATTGGATGGAGGAGTAGCTATATACAGGACCAAATTATTGGATGGAAGTGAACTTTTGACCATGCATTATTTATAATATAAAGTATTTTAGCAATCAAATTTAGTTTTTTAGTTTATAATAGTTATAATTTGTAAATTTTTAACGTCCATATACTAATATAATATCATGAATAAGCTTTGTATTTAACTTTCTTTGAAATTCATTTTTATGCTATTTTAATTCACTTTATAAGCTTTATTTAACTTTTCCTATAAAAATTTTCATTTACACCATTTTTTTTTACTCCACCTTATTATATCAATTACGTACAGTATAATCATATATCAACTATACCTTATTAAGTTTAAAGATGCATGAAATATTATTAATCATACTTATCATCATTAATTTATTACAAAACTAAATATTTATTTTACAAAAAAATTCCACTTATAAATTGTTTTATTTAATTAGATTCTTTAACGAATATAAATTTCTTCATTTCTGTTTATCTTTAAAGCCAAAAACTTTCTGAAATTTTTTATATTTTGTTAAAAATTTAATATAATAAGATGGTATCTGTAATTAGTGGTAATTAGTTGATGTGACAGATAATAAGAGTATTATTATTGTTGAAGTATTGAATTGAAAACAGACTTCAATTTTGGAACTTTATAAATTGGATAAAAAAATGTTTGAATACTTTCTCATGAATAATGGTTTTTTCATATTCGGTATAAAAGAAATCATGAACCATGCATATTAATTAAGTTATATCTGACATACGATTACATTCATATTCAAACAAGTTGCATTAGAAATCAACACAGTCGTTATAAATAATTTTCATTAAATGTTTATTGCAGCGGTAAAATATAACTCATATTTATTGATGAAAATTATATATTTTTTGATAAAAAAATAATATTAAAAATAATAAAATATTTACTGTATGTAATTAAAGGTTATGCTCATTACGAAACGTAATAGCATATCCGTAACAATTATAAGCAGCTAATCCCATATAATATTTAGCTTTTTCTATATCTTTTGTACATCCAATACCATCATAATACATCTTTCCAACATTATACAATGCCACTCTAAAACCATCTTCAGCAGCTTTTTCAAAATATTTAAGAGCTTCTGATTTATTCTTTTCAATACCTTTACCATGAAACAAAAAATCTCCATATCTCAATTTTGCTTCAGGATATTCATTTGCTTCATCATCAGCAACTTCCTTATATACCTCAGCAACAATTTTATCTTTATTTGGAGGACCCTCAACCAATCCTTTTGAAATGTAATATGCTTTATAATATTTTGCTGTGATTCGATTACGTTTTGTTGTATTTGGATTATTTGCATATTCTTCAAAACATTTATATGCGGTTTTTACATCTCCAACAGGGTTACCGTTTTTATACATCTTATGTTGTTTTGCTGCATCAGCAAGTGTCATGTATTTAAATGATTCAAAATCTGGTAAATTAATAGGAGGTGCTTGATAAATGTTGGATGCTCGTTTTGAAGGAAACTTCAAAGTGGAGGAATTTTTTCTTAGACTTGAACTATTAGAACTTGATGTATCTTGTGAAAGCGAATATCTCCTGACACAATTTTTAAGAACTTCAAACATTTTTGTAATTTTTGGCTTAAAATCTGGATCTTGATGAACAGCTAAAAAGTATATAAAAAAAAGAAGAAATTAAGTCTAACAAATAAAAATTATTATTTAAAATATTTTCTTTTACATACCTTCAAATTGTAATTGTTTGAATTCTTCTGGCATTTGACTATTTTCAGAAAATGGTTCTCTATACATTTTATTATATACCTTATCACTTATTTTCGTAATATCATTAGTATCTTTATATGGAATTCTCTCTTCAGCAATTTCCCAAAGTAAGATTCCAAAACTATAAACATCACATTTTTGATCATACTTGAAACCTGGAGCTCTCTTAAACAATAATTCAGGTGCTTGATAACGTGCTCGTTCTAAATTTTGGTTATGAACTAACCTCTTATTAAGTAAAAGGTGGTCACGGCTTGATCTAATATTTGTAAGTTTTGCTGTCTCATTGATTGTAATTAATACATTCTTGGCTCTAATATCACGATGTATAATCTAAAAAGAAATTTAATAATTAAATACCTAAATAATAATTTCACTTTTCAAATGTTGAGATGAAATTGTTATCATGATTTACCTCTACAGTTCTTAAAAAATTTAATCCACGAGCAATATCAAGAGACACACGTAATTTTAATCTAAGGTCGAATCGGTCTTTATGGTTTGTATAAAATTCACGTAAATTTCCATATTCAGCCCATTCAGTCACTATATACCATTTATTTTTATCGGGAACAAGTCCATAAAACTTTATAATATTTTCCCATTCATGAAGTTCTTTAAGAATTGTAACACGATTTTGTATAACCTCCAGGTCCTCGTTCCCAAGAATTAGTTTAAACGCAAATTCATCACCTCCATTTCTAACACTAATCCATTTAGATACACGTCCATATTTACGTAATTCTTCATTATTATCTTGTTTATAATCAGACAATTTTAGTGGATGTAACCGAAAGACATAATCAATCTTTGTTTGGTTGTGAGAAGTACTGTTCATAAAATTTTCCATTGTTTTATTCATTGTATTGACTTTTACAACTGTAGTGGAAAACTGATTACTTAAGTTTTCGAGGCTGGCTTTAATCTCATCTCCAATATCTTTTACATTAGTCGTAATTCCAATAGTATCTTTTGTGTCAGTCACAATATCAGCTGCCATTTCTTGTAGATACTATAATTATTAAAAAGTAATAGTTTATAATTATTTTTATGCTTGAAAAAAAAAAGATTTAAAACAAAACTCAATTCTTTTAATCTTACTTTAAATAAATCAACTTGATCTGCTTTTAATTGCTCAAGTTCATCATCAATATTAACGTTAATAGAAAAAGACAATAAATTAACACAACTATCAAATTCTTCACATAATTCTTCAAAAATTTTCTCAATATTTTTCGCTTTAATATATTTTATCAGGGAATTCATTTGAGAAATATCCGAAATAAAATTTTTGATCTGTGTTATAATATTAATTAAATTTTTCATATAAAAATAATTTATATTATTAAAAAATTCCTCTTTACTTCTTAAATCTAGTACGATTAAGTTTATAGCTTGAATTCGTTCTTTTAATATTTCACAAGTTCGTTTATTATGTTCAGCAGCTTGTGTTAATTTGACGATTTCGTTAAAATTATTTTCAATTTCAGAAATTAAAGGAACAACTTTTGTAAATGGAATAACTATTGAAGAATTGGTTAAAACAATTAAATTAAATTTGGGAAGTTGACAAATAATTTATGAAAGGAATATTTCATACCTTCTGTATTCTTAGTTAAAATGTGTCCAATTGAATTTAAAGAATATTTCTTCAACTCTCTATTATCAATATTCAAATTTCCATAATGAGAAGATAAAATACAGATATTTACTTCAATATTAACTAAAAAGTAAGTGTCACAATTATATTGATCATGACTTTTAGAAATTACATTTAAACCATTTGAACTTTCAAAATTTGAACTGTTATAATTTGATTCAACTATTTGAAAATAAATATAATTTTGTGACCACCTAATTACGTTAATTACAGGTTTATAATTTGTTGTTGAGCGGTAAATATTAATGGAAATTGTATACCCTTCAGATAATTGGCAAGGAGTTTTTATTGGATAGCAAGAATTATTATGCTGTAATGTAATAAGTCCTTTAAAACAATAAACTTGTAATTCTCGATTCCTTGGGCTAAAAACTGATAATTTTGAAGGATTTCCAATAATCATCCACAAAATAAAACATTCTCTAATATCAATATCTGTATTATTTAAAGTTTTTATCATTGCATAAAATCCATTAAAGTCATATAATTCAAATGAAATTAAAATATCTCTTAGTCTCAAATTATTTCTCGAAATAACTGATCCAAAGACTTTATAGTTTTCATCTTCTAATGATGGCTTTATGTTTATTCGTTTATAATGCTCAGTGTTGTTAACATCTAAGTCTTTTAATTCTTCAATTCCTGTCATTATAATTTTAAGATCATTTTGTCTATTTAAAATACCTTCTATTTTTCTCTTTTGTTCTACTTCAAGAATATCAAATGAAGAAATTATATCATCAAATTCAATAGTTTCTAAACTATCATCCATGTTCCCATTTGTTAAAATACTCAAACTATCTGAATGCAAATTTAAAGTTTCAGTATAAGACATGGAGGAATTTGGCGAAATATTTTTTAGTGATTTTCCTAAAACAACATTTAATGGAAAAAAATGCTCATATTCGTCAAATACATTTTGCAAACACATAAGTGGCTTCATACTTTCAAGTGCTTTTTCTATAGCTTGTTTGAAGAAGAATTCTTCTGAAGGTAAAGCGTAAGACGTAATTTCGCTGTATTTCTCATAATCTTTATAGCTTATATTTCCAGATTTAATAGCTTCTTTAATGAAAGGAAAAGATCTTATATCTTCAATTGAAAAAATATTATTTGATGTTAAAAATTCTTCTATCTTTGTTGTTGGTTTCATCATTTTCATACAAAACTTATTACTTGAATCTACATTAGTAGTGAAATTAATAGCCATTCTTTTGCTAAGCTTTAATTCAGAAAGCTCATCAATTGTTAGACCTTGGAAAAGATGATTTTCATTAATCCATCTTATTAAATTAGCATATCCTGCCCAATTTTCAAAACTTAATTTCACTTTAAAGTTGGAAGCTCTAAGTTGTTTCTCATTTATTGATGATGATTTATTGAACCTCAGAATGAGATCATTATAAGAATTAATATCAACTATATTATTTTTATACAAATTCATCATCCAAATGAATTTGTCATAAGAATTTAAATCTTCTCCATTTACTGTAAGCCTTATCCTATTAAAAAAATCTAGAAAAAGTGGATTTGTAAACGGGTTTTCCTTATTATACTTAACTAAGCTGTACGCCCAAGTTAAGAGAGATTTAAACAATACAGTTTGTGTTGAAGTGGCTAATTTAAGGTCATCAATAATTAATTTGTCACAAACTGAAACTTTTCTCACAAATAGATGATCATACTTTTCATATAATGTTACTCCATTATTTGAATATCGTCTCCATTCCTTATTTTTAATATAAATATTTCCTTCAGGCCAGTAAGCCGAATAAATTTTGCTAGAACTTTCTTCATTAATATTAACAATATTTTGTAAATTTTCATAGGGTATCCATTCAAGAAATTTTGTAGAATGTACGGTGTTAATTTGTGAATTCTGTATTAATTCATCAATATCTTTTTTTTCACTGGTCCAATTTTTAAAATTTTTCTTAACCCTTCTAGCGTTACAATGTTGACACCATTCCTTTTCCGTACCAGGCTCATTAGATTCAATACATATATAAACTTCTCTTTCTTCTAAATCTTCTATGTGAACTATTTGTTCAACAATATCGTCTGATTCAGTACTAGAAGAAACTGTGACATGTGCCTTTTATTATATAAATGGTAGTAGTTTTAATTAACATTTAAAATATTTATATTATCTATTATTATTATTTTTACCTGATATTCGTCATTGTATTTCCACTTTCCAAGTTTTTGAATTAATTCCATATTTTATTGAATACAAACAAGTAAACTGAAAGGCGGCGTATTCATTAAATATTTAATAAAGTAAAATCATGACTATCAGATGATCATATGATACCATGTGCAACCAATGTTAGACAAATTTAACAATCTATATAACTAAAAAAATACAATGTGTAACCGTAACGTTGAGTTGGCCTGTTTGAATTGCTGATCCGTATTCTTTATAGCTAAGACCCTCTCGTTGTATATCTAATAATCCAATTCCGGTGTTTCATTTTTTTTTTAAACCTATTTTTAAAATTTTTTCCTTTTCTTTCGAACCGATTTGAATTCTTTCAGTTCCCTTTTTTTTTAATTTTCTCTTTTTTTTCTTGAATCGGTCTTTTGCTTTAGGTTCTTTCCTCTTTTCTCTTTTGAACCACCTTTTTCCTTTTCTTTTCCATTTCTTTTTCTTTTTTTTAAAAAATTTTCGTTTTTTTTTTCCTCTTTCTTCTTCGGTTTGGTTTTTTTTTCCAACCCAAGAATTTTTTTGGTTTTTTTTTTTTACGGATTCCTTTTTTTTCGAAAATTTCCTTTTTTAAACCGATTTCCTTCTTTATCCTTTTTCTTTTCCCCAAATTTTATTTTTAGTTTTTTTTTTCATATTAGTAATTAGTGAGATATTTTTTTTTTCTATAACAATAGATTGCTATAATGAATTCTTTGAGATATGGCAACAATAGCCC